AGTTGATTAAGAAAGATTTCATGTGGATGGTTAGAGACTTTGAGAACGGTAACCTTGATATATATATATATAAGTTGAATCATGCCATTATTACTCTTATTCCTAAAATTCCTATGGCTAGAGATATGAAGAACTTTAGGCCTATCAGCCTTAGTAACTGTGCTGTGAAAAAATTCTCCAAAGCTATGACTACTAGGGTTTCCCCCTTATGTGACAAGCTTATCTCCTCCAACCAAACTGCATTTATTAAGGGCAGATTCATTTTGGAGAGTGTGGTTATGGCTCATGAAGTGTTTCATGAAATTCATAGATCTGGGTCTGCTGGTCTGATTCTTAAGCTTGACTATGAGAAAGCATATGATAGAGTTAGTCGGGACTTTTTGAAAGAAATGCTTCTTTCTAGAGGCTTTGGTAGTAAATGGGTGGAATGGGTGATGTCTACTATTCACCAAGGGACTTTCTAGGTTAGGATAAATGACTCTAATGGTCCCCAGTTCTCTAGAGGTAAACGATTGAAGCAGGGTGACCCTCACTCACCCCTTCTGTTCAATCTGGTAGCTGATGTCTTCTCTAAAATGCTTCATAAAGCTGCCAATAGCAGTTTAATCTGTGGACTATTACCTCATGCCTTCCTAGGTGGGTTGGTCAGTTTGCAGTATGCTGATGACACCATTCTGTTCTTGGAGAACTCATTGGAATATGCCAAGAACTTGAAGTGGATTTTATCATGTTTTGAAAATCTATCTGGTTTGAAAATTAATTTCCATAAAAGTGATCTTTATGCTATTAATATTTCTGAGCAATTATCTAATGATTTTTCCTAGATTTTCTGTTGCCAGCTTGGGGATTTCCCCTTTAAATATTTAGGTGTCCCCCTTCACTTTAAAAAACTTAGGAGGGAGGACATCCAACCAATTATTGATAGAATTATCAAAAACATATCTAGTTGGTTAGGGAGATTTCTCTCATATAGGGGGAAACTAATTTTGCTTACTACTTGCATTGCCAACATTCCTGCTTATCTAATGTTTATTGTGAAATTTCCCAAATGGGCTATTTATATGATCACCTCACAAATGTCCCACTTCTTCTGGGGAAACATGGGTGATAATCATAAATACCACCTTGCTAACTGGAGGTTGATCTCCAGAAGGAAAGAGTTTGGAGGTATGGGGGTTCCCAACCTTAGAGATTTCAACTTGGCCCTCTTGGCCTCATGGGGTAAAAGATTCTATGATGATAGGGATAGTGATTGGAAGAAGATGCCGACCTACAAGTACAACACTTCCAGCCCTAATCTCTTTAACACTAGGGTGACCCTGGGATCCCCATTTATGAAAAGTTTGTCATGGGCTCTTGCAGCCTCTAAAAACTTCTATAGATGGATCCCTGGGGATGGTAAAAGTATTGCCTTCTGGCATGACATTTGGGTTGGGGATTGTTCTCTTAAAACCGCATTCTGAGACTTGTTTACTATTTGTCAGCAGTAAGATTCTACTCTTGCACAGGTTTGGGTGGATGGCGAACTACACTTAACTTTTAGGAGGTGTGTTGTGGAAAACACCCTAGATAGATGGAAGGAGCTCATCAAGGTGGTTGGGCCAGTGTGTTTGTCTGGTTCCCCAGACCAGCCAGTATGGTTGCTAGAATCTTCTGGCAAATACTCTGTCAAATCCTTCTATAAAATGATTAACTTTGGAGGGATAGTATCTGCTATCAAAGATGATATTTGGAAAATTAGAGTTCCACCCAATATTCATATTTTCCTCTGGTTGATCTACTATAACAAGAGCTTAACTAGAGACATCCTTGCCAAGCGGAGACATGTAGATGCCATGTCTTGTGTCTTCTGCAGTGAGCCTGAAACTATCCAGCATTTATTTTTTGATTGCATTGTTGCTAGATATGTTTGGGATTTGATAGCTGATAGCTTTAACGTTAATGCACCTGATTCCTTTATTCTGATGTCTTCCTTCTGGAAGAGAAGAAAGTACTTTGAAGCTTTAAATATTGTTACCGTTGCTACCTTGTGGAGCTTATGGCGTTTCCGAAATGATTTTGTTTTCCAGGGCGAAGATGGCGAAGTATACAATGTGTTTTGGACCTGTTGGGGGGCAACGATCAAGCAATGGAAAATCCTATGTTTAGAGGCTCAGGGTGCTCTTCTTCTCCAGTGCTTAAGACTATTGGACCATCGAAGAGGGGAATTGCTTAAGATAGCCTGGCGCTGACGATGTTGCCGGGGGCATCGCTGGGTGGTGTTCTGCTAATTTGCTATCTTAGCTTTGATCTTGTAATCAAGTTGGCATGTTTGCTGCCTAGTCGTGTACCCTATTCTGGACCCGCCTGAAAACTTATAATAGGGCAGTTTACCTTTACCCTCTGTCTGTGGCAGCTACTCTCCGGTTGCCGCCGAGCGCTGTTAACAGTTTTATGTTGGTTTGGCGTTGCCTTGGCTATATAAAGTTGGGGTGGGGGGAAACCTCTTTTGATTCAAAAATTTGGGAGTGGCATTTTCTGAAGTTTGTAAATTGCAGTGGCATTTTTCTAAATCGTTAAAATTGGAGTGGCATTTATCTAATTAACCCTTCTAAATAATAGTTTTTGGATGTAATCCGATATGAAAAATATATTATAATAATTAAAAATTCAAAAAAGTTTTGAAGGTTTTCTGAATAAACTTGACTTTCTTTCGCACTAGTATATAATTTTTTGCGAATACACAAGACACTCAGTATTTTGGCCTAAAAAATGCCTAAAGTCAACGGGGGTTTCCTTTTCATGATTTTTTTACAAGTACAATGGAAAGTCAAGTTTATTTCAGAAAAAAAACAATTTTTTGTATATTTAATTACTAATTTTTTCATGTAGGTTGTGTATACACCCATAGACAAACCGTCCGAGTCTGAAAATGTCAATTATTTTTGTGCGGCGGCTCAGTCAAATGGTACGAAAAGTTGTGGCAAAGCAACAATTTATTTTAGCTTTTTTAAATCATGCAAAATAAAGAAAAATAAAGATACAATCAAGCATCAATATCATATGGATACTTGACATACAGTCCCAACAAAGCAAAGCCAGGCATCTAGCCAAACACAGCAGAAAAGCATCCAGCTATAAGCAAAGGCATAGCCTCGAAGCATCTTAGCCATAACAAAGCAAAGCTAAATTAGTGTTAAATCACTCTATAGCTCGCCATTAGCGACAAAATCCATTTCTAGCGAATAGCTATAGGGTGACGCCCCTCCAAACGATGCAACCAACTATTGGAAACTTTGAGTAAATTATCAGAGATGTACGGTTTCTTTTTATTTTCTTCAAGAATGACCCAAATCTTTGTTGAGTGAAATAGGGTTACATCTGCATGAATGAGAAAGATGTGGCAATACACTACGAAACCTAGTGTAGTAAGAAAGAAGTGTTCTTTTATCTGATTTATATATTAGATAAAGAGAACATAGGGTATACACATGTAAGAGCCTAGCCTAGGCAAAAACAAGGACCACCATGACCTTATTCACATGATGTTTACAATGAATGATCTAGACCCCTCCATGCTTTGAGGCCAACTCTCGAATCAAAAGTTCGAACATTGGATTAACCCAAAACTGTCGAGAATCAGGTCATGTGAGCCCGATAGCATGAGCAAGACTAACACTGATTCGGGAGACATCTCAATTTATGTAGAATCGAGCAGGGTGCACGCAAGGAGTTTGAAGACAGAGTTTAACTCTAGGTTTGTTTCTTTTTTTGGTTGTTTTCATCTCCCGGGCAAGAAGTTGGGCATTCAAGGCGATTAAGGGGAGCCCTTAGCGTTCCTACCCGCCCTTGGTGTTGTTGGTGACAATTTAGGGTTCCCTTGCACTATGGTGTGGAGGTGAAACTGTTCTTAGGCCTTCCGATCTATGAAGGTAAAGGATTGTGTTAGGATTTGTAGAAGGAAACAAGTTGATGATACCTGAATCTCACAAAAGAATAAAAGTTTGATCTAGCAATCGATGATATGGAGGAAAAATATGAGGATCTAAAAATTCTAGCAATATGCTCCACATTCAGGCTATAAGTTTGCGTGAAGGTCAACCTAGAAGCACATGAGAGGATTGTTATTTTGATCAAGTGGTGAGAATATGTTGTTGAAGGTTTTGAGGCTCAGCAATATATTTAGAGGGTGATGAAAGGGGCGCCATGGGCAGTGGGGAGTCTAGCTAGCATCATTTTTTTTCTTTCCTGTTGCATCTTTCTCGTTTGGAGAAGCCATGGTAATTTATTATTGCGCCCTATTCTTTCTTCCATGATTTTTCTTACACTTATTTATTCATCGTACATAATGTGGATATTTGGTTGATGCAATGTACATAAAATATGTGTGATATTAGATTCAAGGGCGATACTGATTCATGAAGAATGCCACTATTTCAGATTATATATGAAAAAAGAATTAGGTACTATACAATTTATGTGAAATTTCAAATTTCAAAAAGGTTACCCTATATCTTTTTTTAAGACAGTACAAACGCAAACATTCATATACGTGCATACACTCACCCCTATTAAACACACACACGCACATCCTACCCTTATGAGCATCTTCGAAAGACCGAGCCAATATATCATCTTAAAATTTACGAGGTCAACGTAGGCACCTCGTCATCGACGAGAATGTCTCCTCCCACTGAATGTGTATCACCGGAAATCGTGAAACCCTGATGGGCTGGGGATACCACTGTCCCTCTAACCATCCAACCACAGGTTAGTTCGCCGCTACCCTATATCTTTCTTGTAGGGCAGGTTATCATATCTATGGTTTTACTCTACGTAGTATAAGCTTACTGTAGAGTAAAAAAATTGCTGCTTACGATATACTAAAAACCGGCTGCTTACTAGCAACCTTATTAGGTTGTCCATGATCTGGCATGAACCAGTCAACTAGAAAGTTACCGCTAGATCAAATTTCACACGAACAAAGTTACATGTATCATGGGGGAAAACTAAAAACGCTTTCATGGCTTGTAGGATCTGAGCCCCTGAATAAACCCGTCGATGCACCTCTCATGGCATGCGCCGTCGGCCACGATCTCCTGCATCTTCTTGGCGTTGGCCGTGAAGACCCTCCTGCCGTCTTCCTCCACGGCGACGGCCCGCACCATCGCGGCGACGTCTTCCCGGATGAACGATCCGTCACTCTCGTTTCTTGGCACCTGCATCCCGACGTTCCTACCCTCCATGAGCTGCGCGTTGGGCCCCTGGTCGCTGGAGATGGGCAGCATGATCAACGGGTGGCCGAACAACAGCCCTTCGATGGTCGAGTTCCACCCGCAGTGCGTCAGGAACGCGGCCACGGCGTCGTGCGCCAGCACGCTGATTTGAGGAACCCACCCGGTCACCACGAGCCCGTGGCCGCGCGTGCGCTCCTCGAACCCTGGAGTGAGGACGCCCGCGTCCGACACGCCAGGCGGCTTCCGCAGAGCCCAAAGGAAGCGTGCCTTAGAGAGCTCCAGGCCGAGGGCCAGCTCGTGTACCTGCTCTGCGCGCAGCGGCACCTCGCTCCCCAGCGCGACGTAGACCACCGACTTGGCCGGTTGCGCATCGAGCCAGCGCACGGTGGCGTCATCCTTGCCGACGCCGCGGCCTCCCTTAGGCGAGGGTGGGAGGAGGCCGAGAGTGACGACCGGCTTGCCCGCGAGCGTGGTGAGGGCAGCGACGCTCTCAGGCTCCCACTCGGTGCAGCTCCGGATAGCCACGAGATTGCTCCGCATGAGCGTCAGGAAGTATCGCTCGGCGACCGTCATCCCCGATGCGTTCTGGGTGAACATCAGTTTTCTCCTCTCCGTCTCGAAGCTTGGCGCTTCGGCTGCCGATCGCTCTTTTCCGACGGCGGCCGCGGCGTGCTCGGACACCCCTCTGGCCCAGGTGGCGATCACGGTTGCGGCTCCTAGGAGAAGCATCACACATAGAACCTATAGCAAATAGTACATGTTGGTATGACCAGGGTTAAAAATTTCAAAGAAAATTTGGTGAAATTTACAAAATTCACATATTTCAGTGGGTTCTAAAATATTTTTAACCTCAAAATTTTGAGACAGATTCAAACTGATTTTAAAATAAATTTAAGTTATGTTAAAATTAAGTGAAATTTGAAATCTCAAAATACAAAATAATTTGCATATTTCAGTGTGGTCCGAAATTATTTTGTTTCTGAAACTAAAAACCTTGGGTATGACATCGGCGGCATGGATCAATCGAGCTGTACTTGTACGTACATGGAATTGAAGCAACAGAGGGGAGAGAACCTTATTTTCGATGGCGGCCGCGGCGGCCCAGTGGTGGAAGCTGTCGACGATGAGCCAGTCCGGCCTCTTGCGAGCTCCCTCGGCGCACGTGGCGCGCAGGAACTCGGAGAAGGGCGCGGCTAGGCCGTCGAAGGCCTTCCGGAGGAGCTCGAACTTGTCGTGCGGGACGTCGTTGGTCGACTCGGCGCCCTCCGGGAGGCCGTCCACGCGCGGGAGCGGCAGCGCCACGAAGTCGACGAGCGGCGCCACGGCCGGCCGAACCGGAGGGAGGCGCGCGATGTTGCGCGGCGTGGAGACGAAGGACACGCGGTGGCCCCGCGACGCCAGGCGCTCGGCGATGTCGAGGCACGGCAGCAGGTGGCCGAAGGCGAGCCAGGGGCAGATCACCACGCGCAGCGGCGAGGAGGAGGAGGAGCCGTCGTCGTCCATGGCGATAGCAGAAGCACAACCCAGGAGGCGAGTAGATTGGATTTTCTTGTAGTATATTGCTCTATATATATAGTTGGATCGCGGGAGTCGATCCTCGACGCAATACATGCAGAACTGTAAAGTAGTACTACACGTGACCCCCAGACGAGACGTCATGGATGACATTGTTGTCATTGTCCAGCCAACCTCACCTTGGGATCACTTGTCCAATACAACAAAATTAAACAACAATCTATTTCCTAGACAGGCAAACAAGTCTGAATGAATACAAGATAAAGCTGGCGGTAGGGCTTGCATAAGTTGTTTTATTAAGCGCAGCAGTTGGCATGGAGCTGGAGTTTGAGGGAGCCAAATGGAGGTGGAGTTGAGAGATCCTACGCAGCAGTTGGTATGGAGCTGGACTTGCCTGATTTGAAAACTCACAGTGGAATCAATTCGTCGCTTCCCGCTGCTGCCCGCCTTCAGCTACTTGTTATCACCTCGAGAGGGAACAAACGAAGAAGAAGCTCGAACTGGGAATGGACGGCGTGATCTGCTGTCGTGTCGTCGCCGTCGCCGTACCCTCACCCTCACCCTCACCGTCACCAAGCCCCAAGCCCAAGTCGCACGCGCACCCCGCACGCGGATGGATTGCTGGTTCTAGTATATATAGAGATGGGAGTTAGAATGAGGAGGGCATGGTCCAAGGGCAAAAGAAAGGATGTGCCGCGGATCAATGAGGTGGCACAAGTTAGACCGCGGATCGGTGAGGTGGCACAAGTTAGACAGCGGATCGGTGAGGTGGCGGAAGGAAAGGGAATTAGTTTTCTTTTTGTTTTACATTGGTCTCTCCATTTCTTTTTTAGTAAACTAACCTTTTCAAGTCAGTCAAAGCTATTCTATTTTTATTGCAAAAAAAAGCTATTCTATTTTTATTGCAAAAAAAGCTATTCTATTTTGCTTTCTTCGAGGATGTCAAAAATCAATTGTTCTTTTTCGGAGTTTCTAATTTATCTTTCTAAACAATGTTCAAGCCGCCGTCCTTTTTCTCTTATTTCACAAGCAAAGCAAATGGATCTGGTAACATGTCCACATCCATAGGCACGGATCCTCAGAACAAGCACAAAAATATCATGTTTAGATCCTCAAAGAAGTAGACACATTTGTTTTGATTTCATCTTTCAGCAACATGGCAGACAATAATCTTTGTCAACCTATACATATGTGCACCTTTCAGCAACATGGGTCGGCAGCAGACATCAAATGGATACACCAGCCTTACATTTTTTAGTCAGCATATGCATATGCATGCATGCATACAAATGTTGTTGAATCTGTCACATACACAAAAACTACGTAACAGTTTGTGTGCCTAATTTCTAGCTGTCTCTAGTGACTCTGGCCACGGGCACACACATGCCCTTTTTATTTCAAACACAAACCAAAGCCATATAACATATATGCAACTTCTCCCAGGGAATGAAATAACAAGGCGCCATTGGTGTGGTCCGAATTCTTCTGGCATCCATGGCAACAATGGGACGTCCGATGAAGCCACCAGGCTCAGACGCCAACGTATGCTGCTCCTGGGCACCGCCTCTCACATATATGCTCGCTCTAATCTGCATGCATAAGAAAAGCAAGTCATGCACCATACAGATACAGGAGGAGATGAACAATGCAGATTCAGAAACACTACTTATATACTGATAAACTG